ATCCTCCAGGTGGGTTATGACTCGGTTGGAAACTTTCACAAACAACTGTCTTGGTCACAAAAGGAAATCTGCTGTTCAACTTAAGTTCAAGTGAATGGAAAATCCAATGTGTGACGTTTTTAAAAATAATTTACCTCCTTTTATTGAATACACAATGATACAATTTTGAGAAACGGGGAAGCGGCCAATCAAAGGGCTGTCATAGGGCAATTCAGGCAATGGTGGTGGGGTTCGAACACACACGTCCCCCGAGGTGGTAATTTAAGGACGTTACCACTGGGCCGTGAAGATTTAGGGGTCTAAGATATGATCATTTCTGCCTCACTGAACGCATGAATGCTTTCTTTTCTCTTATCGAACGGTTCGGGCTTTTCAGCCCGAACTACTACTTGGTGGTCATCCTTTGGGATCTGATTGAGACCACACACAGGGTGGATGCAAGTCGAGATGTATGCTTGCTTGGAATATCATTACTTACCATCAAAACTGTTTTGGTTCCGTCACCCCAGTGAAAGATATTCTCGAAGTTGATTGTCAAACCAAAGAGGAAACAGCAAAGCTGACCCGATCACAATTACCAATTCAACTCCATTAACAGCGGTAATTCAACAGGGGTGAATGTATTGCTTTATCTGAAAATCTTCCATCTGTAAAGGCAAAATGCCCGCTGTACGTCGGTAGGGTTGATCAGTCAGATTCCAAAATTATGTGAGTAAATTGTGTCCAACATCTGTTTTATCGTAATCTTGTATTATGCCATTGGTAATCCGGTTTTGGATTGACTAATACTCAAATTGGAATATTTCGTGAAATGACTGACCCCTTGAATAATTTCAGTCTGTTTCGCTTTTGTACTCATAGTTCCTCACCATGGACTCAAATGCTGTGCCTTGGAATAAAGTAATCGCTTCCGTGTGCATTGCAGGTTTTAAGATTTCTATACTAGAAGGTCAGATGAATCTGTGCGCGAGCTGTTCTGTTGCAATTTGGATAGAAATATTTTGACCACAAGTGTATGACTTCATTGATTTTGTGATCCTCAACTCACGAACTTCTGTCTTACTCTCTTTCTCCCGTTCTCTCTCTCTCTCGTTCTCTTGTTTTACGCATCGTAGTGGAACCCGTTCGGATGAGACAGACCGGCTGTCTGGCTTTAAGACAACACGCCTGGGTGCAATTCGGACTGGTCCCCGCTCATCTACTCTACTCAGCATGGATCCTACGGTTTTATTTATCTNGTCCTCGTCATCATGTGGTTAGTCGAGCTCCCCCGGTAGTTCTGTTTGAGAAAATAAAAACAAACGTAGATAGAGTGATTGTGCACTCTGCACACCATCTCCGAGCATTGACATACAGATATATATTTCATAATAAGCAGTATATGAATGACTGGAAAAAAATTCCGAGGTCAAGGAAACACAAAGCAGCTTTTACAGACGTACTAAATATTTCACAATTTCGGGATTGAAGTTTTTCCAACTAGAAATATCGATCATATCGATTTTTCACTATTTCTACGCAATAGTCTTTTGATCTGATCACTTGAGATTTCCATGTACTTGAAAATCAGTGAAAAAATGAAAGACCATGTCGAGTTTTCAGAATGTATTCAGCCAGGAAATGACGTAAAATAATTGAAGTGCGGCTAGCCTGTCCAACTAACTCGTACCTACGTTACCTGATGTGCTTACTTTATCGGTAAAACTGCATTTAAGAGGAACTACGCAATCCAAAATCAGTGAAATATCTGTAATTGGGTCCACTCAATACATTGATTTCGTTTCCATATTCCAAGCTCCTATTATTAGTTACACCATCTACATATTCTTGCTTTTCTAGTGAAAAGTGTACATTGTAATGTCGGTAAACAATCATTCGTTTGCTTGCTCCTGTTGTATACTGTGCATACTGAAATTGATCGATAAATTCGTTATTCTTAGCCAGAATTCATTGTGTGTGTGTGTAGAGCAAATAAAGCGTGGACTGGAAAGCTAGGAAAAACTTACTGGACAGCTGTTTTGGCCTAGCCGATTCTCATCAGCAACAGTGTGAATCCATCGATGCAACTGGGAATCGAACCAGGGACTTCACATGTAGAAAATAAGGATATATACAGGTCTGATCGAAACTGAAGCAATGGGTCCCTGTGAAACATTTGTCGGTTCATATAGGCAACAGCATTTATACTGAAGTAAAATTTTTTTCTAAATAATAATAAGCAAGCTTTGATGAGTCTTTATGGACGTGATTTTCTTGATTCGTTTATAGTCAGCGGATGGAATGGTTCAGAATGTAGCGGATACTCCCCTATTTCGTCAGTAGTGGTTGACCTAGACCATGATGAATTAAGAGGTAACTAAGGAGAATGGAGCAGTTTTTAATAATAACAAATTAACATTGATAATAAGTAGGATGTAAAGTTTGTGTACACCGGCTTGCGGACACATATGCTGGCAACGTAACGATGCTACCCACACTCGGTCACCGGGGCAGTTTTGATCAGATCCTTTCTCAGTTTGTTTATGGACAATATGGGACAACCCATCTTTGTGTGCTTGTTGCGGGCATCGCATCTCGCTCATCTTAGGACTGGCTATCAGAGTTGCGACTTGGTTGGAAAATTTCACAACCTATCTACTTGTTCTATATAAGAGAGTAATAGAGGATTTGATTTAATTTCAAAGCGGAAAATTGTCGTGTATAGAGCAAATGAAGCGAGTCAGTGTGATGGCAGTTATTGATCGGTTGAAGATATAAAATCCCCCCGCCCCCCCCCCCACTTACTAACTGGGTCAATCGTAAAAGAGGAACTGACTTA